CTTCTAATACTTGAATTTATTTTCTTTTTTAAATTAAATAAGTTGTCAGTGTAATTCCTATGAGATTAAAATATCAAACACGATGTAACTGCTCTTACTAATCATAGGTCGATTATATTATTCTATTTATTTTGAGACACATTTTTTCACTTGATCTGATGACTTAATCGTCTAGAAGTACAATAAGGAAGTATTTCATATATTATAAGTAGATGTTATTGATACACGATTTGTGATCGTATATGAACAACGTCTAGCAGTCTGAAGAGAGGATTCGAATTTCTACTCCTATACTTCAATATTGCTTTTAGCTCGTATTTCATAAAATCAATACTACGATTAGAATTCGATGACTACAATGAATTCTTAGGTAAATGGTAATATTAAATTAGGAAATTGATTTCAAATTGAGGGTTAGGTTTTTTTTTGAAGCTGTTATAATGCAAAAAAAGTATTATATGGATAGGAAGCACTGCTATGGCTCGATGCTTTGTTGTAGAATTTATTTTGCTAAATCGAATATCTTCTAATTAATGATATAAAGGATCAATTTTCACTTATAACTTTTCGAAAGTTATCCAAAGATAGACAAATCAAATCATTAACAACAGTTCGTACTTATACGAAGAATGCATTATATTAGATCTATCGAGAAATTTAAAACTAATTGTCAATTCTTGATCCTTTTAATTACTCTCGCAATTTTGGATATACTAATTCCTAAATTCTTATTTCATTATTGTTCTTCTCTGATGATATTATACATACAAATTTTTCATATTGTCTATGTAAATCATCATATTGTCTACGTAAATCATCATATTGTCTTCGTTCATTGACCAGTTCTTGTTCAAGATTTACAAGGGTTTCATTAGCTGTCTAAAATTTAAAAAAAAAATTAATAAAAAATTCAAATAAATTAATATGTAGACAAGTGCATACTCGAAGTTGACCTTGTAAATTTATTCCTTCCTAAATATGAAAGTACATAAATTCTTTTTTTCTAATGATCAATGACAAACATACTTGATTATTAATTTGATCAAATCTTTCATGTTCTTTTCGTGTCTGTATTTCGTTCTTTTCACTTCTAAGTTCATGTAAAAGATGATCACGATTTTTAAGCTATATTAAAAATTATTTAACTAATGATAAAATAATAATAGTAGCAAAAAAAAGAAATTTTTACTTCATCTTCTAAACTTATAATATCACGTTGAAGTATTTCAATTTGTAATAAGAATTGTTGACGAATACGACTTTCAAATTCTGGTTCACGTTGTTCTAATTGCTATTTTGTTATATTATATAGAAATAAGAAATTAATTATAAAAAAAATTGACAAAAATAAAAAATTATTTTTACTCGAATATGAACATTTCTTTTCTCAATTTCTTCGTTTAATCGATTCATTTTCTCTTGCCACTAAATTTTAATTTATAATAATATGATATATAAAATAAAACAAATCTATTAAAATTCATCAAGCAAATTAATTACAAAATAATTCAAAATTTCTATATTTGTCAGAAAAGATTCATTTGTAGGACTTATCAAGATATGTATGAGTTTAGTGATTTGAAGAAACTCACATTTAATCTATAAAAAATTATGTGAACAAAATATTTGATCAGTAAAAAAGATTAAATGATCAGTATAAAAATTGAACAATCAGTACTAAAAGTATCAGTAAATAGTAAAAGAATGATCTGTATATTATATATAATTACCAGTAAAATATACAATTTATTTCAGTAACAAATACAAATTTGATCAGTATAGTATAAAAATTTTATCAGTAGAAAAATAGTTTGAACCATATTAAATAAGAAATTATCAGAAAAAGAAATTTTGAATAATTAAAGAACAATTCGCAAGAATATTTTATAGAAATCTAAAGAGTGAGTGAGAAAGGAGAAAATAAAAATAAAATTATTGGACTAGCAAACCAGACTTAATCTTAACTGTCTACCTCTTTTTCTTTTCTCATCAATGGAAACTGTTTTTGTTGCTACTTCTCGTTTGCAATATATTAAATGAATAAGCATTTTCTTCCAAAACTTCATCGGATAAGTTGCTTGTATATTGTGTAACTTCTACCATTTTCATCTCTTTCACTTGTTAAAATTTGAGTAATGATGAGCAAGAGAATAGGAGTAAAGACTGTTTATTTGTTAGTATTTAATCTCAACTTCAGTCCAATCCTAGATCCACTTAGGTCAACCTGGGGTCTCATTCTGGACTAGTGCAATGTTAGATTGGGAAAGCAGTTTTCATTAAAGCCTTCACTAGTGGCTAGATAAATATTGCATCGAAATAATATTGCTGAACTAGGTTAAAACAATGGTATTCCGACATTGCGATCATCACCGAAGAAATGAAGTTAAACATGAACACTTATAGATAATTTTCTATAACAGCTGGTTTGCTATAGAAACCTATTTGTAAGTTCTAGAACCCTAAATTAATTTCTCTGTCGATGATTATATTAGCTGAAATGCCATTTTTTCAAAACAGTTCAATAAGAAGTATGCCAAATTAATTGCTATCCAGGGATAGTTAAAAGTTTTCATGAAAACCAGCTTCCCAATCCGACATTTGACTAGGCAAATCTGAGAGTCTCATATTGGCTAGACGCATCTGAAATTGGACTGAAGCCAAGATTGAGCACTAATATATATAAGTTGTACTTGTTATCTGTACGACATAGTTGAAAAACAGAAAAAATGAACCACACTATAACATATTTGAATTTCTATACTCATCTTTGTATTTAATTCACTGTTAATTAATTATATTTACTGATTCTTAAATTTATTTACAAATCTTATTAATAAATAACTGATCATCAAAGTAATTTACTGATCAATCATTCCGTTTACTAATCAATTATCCAGTTTACTGATCAATCATTCGATCTGCTGATTTTATAATATTCTAACGCACTGATCATTTCATCTATTTTACTGATCGTTTAAATCCTAGCCAAAAATTATCAAGACCTATAAAGATCCGTCAGGATCTAGCAAGGTCTGTTAGGATCTATTAGTGTCTCTTAGAGTCTTTCAAGATCTATCGAGATCTATTAGTGTTCACCAAGGTATACCTAGGTTTTATAGGATCTAGTAAGGTCTTTCTGGATCTACTAGAGTTTCCTAGGATCCAACAGCATCTATTAGGGTCTATTACAGTCTCCCGGAATCTACCAGGGTCTGCTAGTATCCACTAAAGCCCACCACAGGCTACTAGTATCTATTAGAGTCTGGTAGTATTCATTAGGGCTTATTAGAGTGTCTTCCAGGGTCTACTAGAGTCTGCTATTATTCATTAGGGCCTCCCAGGATCTAACAGAGTCTCCCAGAGTCTAATAGGCTCTACTAGAGTATGCTAGTGTTCACCAGGGTCCATTAGGGCCTACGATGGTCTACTAGCGTCTATCAGGGTCTCACAAGGTCTACGAGTGTCTAGTAGAGTCTGCCAGGGTCTATTATTATCCTTCAGGATATACTAGGGTTTACAAGAGTCTACTAGGGTCTTCCAGAATCTACTAGTGTCCACTAGGGTCGACAAGATCTGCTAGAGCCTAATAGGGTATTCAGGATCCACCAAGATCTAGCAGGATCTATCAGATTCTCCTAGGGTGTACCAGAGCCTTTTAGAGTTCATCCTGGTCTGCCAGGTCTACTAGTATCCATCAAGGTCTATCAGGTTCTACTAAGGTCTCTATTCATATATGTGTGTCCACACTCGCTTTCAGTCAAGAGGTATCTACTGTGTGTATTTCTGTCCTAATCCTCATTCTAATCTCTGGTAGATTCCACTTAAATTATTGACACAAATTAATAGAGATTGCATTAGTTTTGAATTCATTTTTCTTGAACTATTTTGGAATTTATTTGCATCATTCAGAGATCTTTTTACTTCATCACGTTCTCGAATCATTTGTGCAACACGATTTGTTAAACCGGATACATTTTCTGCATCACTTTGAAGTCGTAAAGTTATTTGAACAACTACGCTTTGAAGATCCTGTTCGACGAAAATAATGAATAAGAATGAATAAAAAACAACAGATTATGTCTTACTTGAACTTGTCGAGCATCTTCGTAAGTATCAATGGTCTAAAAGATTAAACATATAAAAAAAAAATTTTTTTTTGAAATAATAAATGACAACCTTGGAGGATGATGGTGACGGACGAGGTACAGGAGGGAACTATTTAATGAAAAATTTTTATTATAAAAAAACATATTTGTTTTTACACATACTCCCACATTTCGATTAGGTGTATTGATAAGTTGAGTTAAACTATCAACTTGATTTCGTAAATTTTTTTCACTTCGTCGAAGCTCAACACATTCGGCGCGTAATTGCTAAAATAAATATTCTTATAAACGAATCGCTTTAAATTTTCTTACATCAACAGTTTCCAAATGAGTTTGCATTTGAGAATTTAATTCACGAATTAAAGTTAGACTATGCTAGAAAAAAAAAAGATATTATTAATATATTTATTTCGAAATCAAAAAAATCAACTCACTTCATCTAACCATTGTGATGTTGATGATTGAGTTGGAAGCATCATTGTAAACGGTGTACGTAAACGGATTGTTATTTCATTGATGGCTTCTTCAAGTTGCTATCAAATTTCAAAAAAAAAAACATTTTTATAACTGTCTCCTTTAAAATTTTTACTTGAATTATATGATCTCGTTGATTAATAGCCTGACGATATTCTTCAATATTAATAGTCGGACTTGTTTCATCGTGCTATAAGAAATAAATAAAAAACAAAAACTTAATAAATTATTCTCTTAAATAACAAAAAAAAACATATTCTGTTGTCATGATTAAATTATCGTGAACAGTCTAAATGTTTTATCATCTGTCTTAAAATCATATATCTGTATATAAAGCATCAAAACAAAAAAACAGCAAATGCCAATCGAATAACATAGTGACATATTATAATCAATATGGTCAAAAATCAGTATATTTTTATTAAGCATCACAATAGACATTTTGATGTAAAAATCAATTTTTCATATAATCATAGTAAGTAGTGTAAAATGGAAATTAGAGAAAAGCATAACGCTGAAAATAATAAGCATTTGTGAATACAAACCAGAGGACAAAGAAAACGAATTCGAGCGAATAATGGCTAAAATATAATGTATTTTATTTTTTTAATATTTATAAATTCTTTTGCAAAAAAAGATAAAAAGATAACTAAAAACAATTAAAAAAGTTATTTTATTTTACCTCATGTCGATAAGTATCAAACTCTGTCGTTTGTTGTCGTTGTTGTTCAACCAAAGTCTAACAAAAGTTAAATAAAAAATATAAAATAAAAGAAAAAAAAAATGAATTTTGCTTCTTTTTACAGCAATGCGAGCTTCGTAATCAGCTTGTAAACGTTGTAATACTCGTTCAGATTTTGATTGTTGTTGTTCATAATTTTTAATATCAACTTCATATTGTTGAATTTGTTGACGAGCACGATCTAATTCAGCAAGAGTCTAATGGAATAACAACAATGAATATTTATTCATTCAAGGCAAGGTTTGTTTTTTTTTCATTTTACTTCATTGGTTTGTGGTAAAGACGTTTCGAGTTGCTGTGAAAACATATTAAATGGTAAAATAAAATTCTTATGCTTCTCTTTCTCTTACTCTTCGTAATGAGTTAACTTGTTCTTCCAATTTTCGTTCTCGTTCTTTATATTCGTTAAGCTCAATTTGTAAAGCACTACTACTTAAAAATGTATTTGACATACCAGGCATTGTTGTAATGAGGCCAGAATCGGTTGATGTTGCTGCGTGAATACTTAGACTAACAGTCGGCGGTTTTATTATTGATTGTTCTCGTTCATCACTACGACTTTTATTATAATTTAATTCTAATGATTTTTTAAGTGATGCATTTTCTCGACGAATTTTATTAAGTTCTTCATGTAATGCACGACGTTCATCTTCATAATCAATATTGCAGACTGTTTGACAATTATCAGTTTGTACAGATTGAGATTGAATGCTAAATAAAAAAAACATCGTTTGTTTTGTGTTAAAAATGTTTTAATTTTATATATGACTCGTTTTGTTGAGCTTCAAAATGTCTGATATAGAACAAATGAAGTTTTAATTCATCATCGCGTAATCTATACTATATTTGTAAAAGAAGGAAATATTATAACAGAAGTACTTGAGATATTACTACACGTGTGTACTTAGTATTTGAACGTAATCGAATCATTTAACAAATTGAAAAGTGCTAGTATCACTTTTATAATTCGATGATTACATTCAATAGCTAAGTAAACTTAAATTGAACATAACAAGAAAAATGATACTTGAAGGATATGAGGAAGAAAAAAAAATTTTTTTTTCTCTTTTGTCTATTTGTTTTATATTTATTTCATGTTGTCATATAAATAGATCACCTTGTTTCCAAACCTCTATCGACGGTTTTAAGTTCACCATGAACTGTATTTCGTATTACTGCCGAATGTGTGCTGCCCATTGTGTAATAATGATTTCAGCACCTTCAGACGTTTTTCATCTCTTCAACTTTCTCCTTCGTTTTCATCGTCTCACTGTTCTACTTATAAGACTTCTGTGCCACATTCGTTTAAATATATAGAACAAAGACAAACCGCAAAGCTTTGTTCGAGAGAGCAAAAAAAAACGAAAGAATCTTAAAATCACATTATTCAACAGTTCATTTTGCCTCATCAAACATCAGTTTACTTGAGAATAGGAGCACATGTGCACACATATATGCTGTGAGTTTCTAATAAAAACATACCATTGCTGAAGTCGTTCAATTTCATTTTGTAATTGTTGTACATAAGACTATGTGAAAAAAAAATAGATAATACAAAAAAAAAAAACCTAAAGAAGATCCATACTGTGGGAGTTTGACATTCGTCAGTATCGAAATTGGATTGATTTTGTTCTTCAAGAAAATAAATACGTAATTTTAAACTGAAATTTTCACGTTTAAGTTCTTGAAATTCCTAAAATATTATTTAATATTAGCTAATTTATGAAGAATTAAATTCTTTCTTTTCACCTAACCTCGTCTGTCATCTTGTATTTTTATCTGTCAAGTGTTATACTACCATACCGAACATATTATAGACATAAATGCATACACATATACATTGAGATATCTTCTCTCTCTCTCTCTCGTTTTCTCATGGTCAGACGAATGTATGATACATGATCTATCGAGACCAATAAATGAAAAAAAAAAGAAAGAAACCATCAAGATTAAGCATAAAAATATCTTTGTTATTGGTTGAAAAAAAGAAGAAAATGACGTAGACCGATATTAATATATAAATATACATAAATAAAAAGACACCAACGTTTGAAAAAGAAAAAGGATGAAATATGTCAATATATTTTACTAGAAGAAAAATTTTCATATGAAAGACTTTAATCTGTCATCTACAGGGTCATAGAAAACGAGTAAAAGTAAGAAATTGGATTTAAATGTACAAAGATCTTTTTTTTTTTGAAGCCATTGAATATTTTCAACGTCCATGTAGAAAATATTGAAATTCTTTAATGATTTATTTATCCCAAAATCATTTCTTTTCAAAACATTGATCTATTTATTACCTAATGATGTTTTTTTTTCTCTTCGCATATTGAAACAATCTATTAGAGTTCTTATCAACTTTCTTCTTTTCTTTTTCTTTTTCTTTTTCTTCTACGACCTTCAATAAATTCTTTCAATCGTAAACTTCATAAAGAAATGTAATAATCATTAAATATAAATTCTTCATCTTATTCTATCTTACGACATCATAAAAGACATTCAAATATTGAAATGAAATAGACAGTCTTTCTTTCTTTCTTTCTTTCTTTCTTTCTTTTTTTTGTTCAAAAATATTTTCAAGTTCTTTTATTGAATTCTTTATTGAATCGATTAACGTTTTATGTTTATGATAGATGGTTTGATACTTTTATCAAAACAATAAAACAAAGGTAACCACATTTCAAATTTTTTATCTTCTCTTAAGTGAGTACTCTTTTTCTCTGGTTGCAATGCTAATAAAAAAAAAAGCGACCATTCGATCATCAAAACTCGAGAAACTTTCAAGGCAAACAGAACGAAAGTGGTTACGAGAGTCATTCAAACAGTTTTGAAATTAGTTTGATTGAAAAATAACATGAAATTCTACTGCATTAGTATCCAGATATGGCAATACTTTTCGTACGGATAGAAAATTTTTAAATTTGAAAATCATTTTGTAATAAAGTTTTTAGCACGGATAGACCAATGTCCATCAAATATTTATGAATGTATGATGATAATTTATGGTGACTAACGCACTACAGTTTCTGAATAGAAATGTACTTCCAAACATAGACAATAATCTTCACGAATATTGAAATAGTTAGAAGCTTAGTCATCGAAAAACCTCAAACCGTAAGTAGTGAACATTGTTAGCATCTCAAAAAACTATACATACTTCATATATCAATGCTTACTGATCTATCTTTAAAACGATGAAGTCATTTAAAAACTGTAATGGATGATAGAGCATTATCACGATAAGCTACAACCATATGTTTATACTTAGGGCAATCCAAAAGTAGTGTCGTCATGATCTTATTTCTCTATAGAAAGCTTGAAGAAATTTTCTTTCTTGATGTAATGATAGAGAAAACAATGTTCTATTTTTCTTTGCTATTTGATCGGTATTCAACTAATATCATAATAATAAAATTTTAATAAGAACTGTTTTGGTGTGAAATTTCACTAACGGATGAGACAGATTAATATGCTTTACATTTCAATTTTCAATCACTTCGTACGTTGTATTAAAAAACAAAATATACGTGAAGATGCAGTGTGAAAAGCTATACAATTTTCAAAAGAACAGTTTGTTTTATATATAAAATAAGAAAAATATTATTTTTTCGGATCAGCGAAAATTGGTCGCAAAGAATTTTGGTTTTTTTTTTTTGAAAACAAGAGGTGCACAATTAAAGTAAGCTTAACTTTGTAGATTGTAGAACTTTGCACAGTGCATCTTGTGATGTATTTTGTTTTTCTTAAATACAAGATATCAGACGATAAAAAGATGCAATAAGAAAAAATAAATTTATCTTGTAATCAAAAAATATCGTTTCTGCATGGTCAAAAATTGGTCCCTCAAAGTTTTGTTCATTTTGAAAACAAAAAACACAATTATAAAATAAGTGGTCTTTTGTAAATTGTAGAGCTTCTTGCGCTGCATCTTCTGGTATATCTTGTTTTTTAATACAATGCATTAAGTGATTGAAACATTTAACCTGTCTTACCCGTTCGTGAAGTTTCACACCAAAACAGTTCTGATTAAAATTTTATTATTATGATATTAGTTGAATACTAATCAAATAGCACAGAAAAATAGAACATCGTTTTCTCTATCACTATATCAAGAAAGAAAATTTCTTCAAGCTTTCTATAGAGAAATAAGATAATGATGACACTACTTTTGGATTGCTCTAAGTACATAATGGATGGGAATTCTTAACTCAAAGCACCAAATTTTGCTTAAGTTTTTGGTTTTCTAAGTTATCTAAAACATTTTGCTGTATCTGGACACAAAATGCTTAACTGATTAAAGCTCATCACGCCTATAGATCAAGGACTGTATGAACAACATACAGGATGTTTCATAAGTTTTATGACGTGACAAAATTAGTTTATCTACAGACAGAGAATAATTCCTAACCGAATGTATTTTATATGAGCTTGAAATATTCGTGATGACCTTTCAAACGACATAAAATTCAATGACGTCTTCTCTTGTAATGATAAAAATACAACCATGAGAATATACTGATAAATTTTTCGAAATCGACCAACAATATGAGACTCCTATAATAACTGATGATAAATAGTTAATGATAAATTTCGATACTCGATTTTTGCATTATTTTGTGAAAATAGCGCAAAAATCGACTATCGAAAT